AATATATTGGACTAATACAGCTATGTAATGAGAACACACTTTGAACCTTTAATTTCTGAAGGAAAACTGCACACATTACACAGGTTTTACTGTACTATGTATGATGGGAAACCTCAGGTAACCAGACTCTATATTATTGTAGGCTGATATAGACTTTATTTATTTTACAACAATTGCGAAACAAGTTATGTTTACTTATATAAGTTAACATAACTTGTTTCTTAATTGTTGTAAAATAAATAAAGTTTATATTATATTATTGTAGGTTGATAAATTATGTTGGTCAGAGTACAAAGTGGAACACAATATACAAGTTTACAATATTACACCATTTACCACATGCTGATTATACAAATTGATAGGCTGTAGATCCAGGCTCAATCTCAGGGTAGTAAAAGGTACCAGCTAGGACTATACAGGACCAGGGTGGGGGATCAAGATTAATATTAAGGGACAACAAAACTAGACAGGAATATAATACAGGTTTAAAACCAGGGATGTAGAATTCATAACTATCTATAAGAGTTGACTGTTCATAACATTTTCTTACATTTAATATAAAAATATTTAATTGGATGTCTATTTATGAGGGTTCCTACTGAAATTCTGGAGTCAGTATCTGAGTAAATTAGGGCTCCTACTGAAATTCTGGAGTCAGTATCCGAGTAAATTAGGGCTCCTACTGAAATTCTGGAGTCAGTATCTGAGTAAATTAGGGCTCCTACTGAAATTCTGGAGTCAGTTTCCGAGTAAATTAGGGCTCCTTAAATTCTGGAGTCAGTGAAATTCTGGATGTCAGTAGCTGAGTAAATTAGATAACTTACTACAACACTACTGAAATTCACAAGCTATAGTAGATGGGGATGCATTGATGAAATTAGGTAGTGTCCTCACTGAAATTCTGGAGTCAGTTTCCAAAATAAATTATGGGCTCCTACTCTAAATTCTGGAGTCAGTTCACAGGTCAACACAGTAACTGTCTGAGATTCTGTCAAGACTGTTAGAGGGAGTGACAGGTGTTTTGGACATCTAGATAACTTACTACAACACTGGATCTACAACCACAAGCTATAGTATGATGGGGATGCATTGATGAAGGATGAAGTTTACCCGAGTAGTGTCCTCAGTGGTGATGGAATGATGGGAAGGTCTCAAGGAAAGAGGCTGTTCACAACAAAATACAAGTTAAATGTGACAATCTTACTCTAAAGTGTGTGGCACAATGGAAAAACATACATGGTATCACAGGTGCAACACACTAACGATGTAATACTCTCACAAGGAGACAATACCCACTCTCAATGAGACAACAAACACCCGCTCACACCCTCACAAGGTGACAGCTCACAATCCCACACCAACAAGACAGCTCACACTCCCACACCAACAAGACAGCTCACACTCCCACACCAACAAGACAGCTCACAATCCCACACTAACAAGACAGCTGCTCACATTCCCACACCAACAAGATGGCTGCTCACAATCCCACACCAGCAAGACAGCTCACATTCCCACACCAACAAGACAGCTGCTCTCACACCCACAACAAGACAGCTGCTCACACTCCCACACCAACAAGACAGCTGCTCACACTCCCACACCAACAAGACAGCTCACAATCCCACACCAACAAGACAGCTCACACTCCCACACCAACAAGACAGCTCACACTCCCACACCAACAAGACAGCTCACATTCCCACACCGGCAAGACAGCTCACACTCCCACACCAACAAGACAGCTCACAATTCCACACCAACAAGACAGCTACTCACACTCCCACACCAACAAGACAGCTCACACTCCCACACCAACAAGACAGCTCACAATCCCACACCAACAAGACAGCTCACACTCCCATACCAAAAAGACGGCTCACATTCCCACACCAAAAAGATGACAAGACATTTCACTCTAGCTAACACCAATGAAAATGCAAACACTGACATGCCAGTGCATTCTAGCGAAGACCAATGGGATTGCTCACTCTCTTTCACACTGACAAGCCAGTATACTCTAGCGAAGACCAATGAGATTGCTCACTCTCTGTCACACTGACAAGCCAGTACACTCTAGCGAAGACCAATGAGATTGCTCACTCTCTGTCACACTGACAAGCCAGTACACTCTAGCGAAGACCAATGAGATTGCTCACTCTCTGTCACACTGACAAGCCAGTACATTCTAGCGAAGACAAATGAGATTGCTCACTCTCTGTCACACTGACAAGTCAGTACACTCTAGCTAAGACCAATGAGATATCTCACTCTATGTCACATTGACAAGACTGTATACTCTAGCTAAGACCAATGAGAAAGCTCACTTTAGCTAACACTGAAAAGCCAGTGCACTCAAGCTCACACCAATGAGACAGCTCTGACACTGACAAGATAGCTCACTCTAGCTCACACCGACAAAACAACTCACTCTATCTCACACTGACAAGACAGCTCACTCTAGCTAACACTGACAAGATAGATCACACAAGCTCATACAACACAGCTCAGTTATTTTTCATACATGACCAAAATGAAAATGTATGATGAAGACATAAGAATGAATTATGAAAGAATGATAATCAATTCATTAACAATGTGGCTATTCCATTTCACCAGAAAGTCAGGAATACCTGCACACATAAAATATATGTAAAAATGTAAGAGAGAATTCCCAGGAGGATATTTCTAAGTTATTAAACTCTGGACAGTTCATCCTTCTGGACACTGAAGAGTATTCCAGAATTCAAACATCCTTCTATACTTCTAATGAAATATACATTATAACAAGCTTTCAACATTGATTTACGTTCCACATGTAACTTATAACATGTGTTTGGTTTAAGAATGTATTGAAATATATGAACATTATTTATCTTTAATCAGTGAAGGTTTGTAGATAACACTGATGTAAACACATGATTCCACTTAGTGATGTTTTACACTATTTTCCTGACAATGTACCATTGATCGCTTTGTGATATATTGTATGTTATTGTAATACGACTTGCTTTGATAACAGAAACTTACAGATCATTTGATCAAGCAAGAAAGTTCAATAAAACATATCAACTCGGTGACACCCAATAAATCTCACAAGGAAACCAGAAAATTCTTATTTTATATTAAGTCACACCATTTTCATCAAAATTCAAACATTTTGAATTTAACTATTACAAAATTAGTGCCTTAATTTATTTTATTAATATTTGGATATATAACTAGCTAACCTTTGGATTGTTACTTTAATAACATAAAGAATTCTATATGCTCTAAGACCGACGTAAATAGCTCTAGGATAAAGTAAATACTGGAGTATATATATAGAATTTGAATGAGAGATCAAACACTGATGAATGTGGTATATCTACATTTATAAAAATGATAGCTTACATGTACATTTTCTACAGAAGTAATAAATCAGAATGATCCGTCAATATTTATAATAAAAAAACCGCTGTCGAAACTCTGACATGACAAATTTATTTTCTTGTGTCAAATCACAATTTTGTGTAATCTTAGTTGTAATGGATATTTTTTCTGTGACATGAACGTTTTTTGGTTATTGTTACATCATGTCCTATATAACACCAAGGTCAGTTAAGGACATATCAGATTTAGAGGGTGGAGCCAGGTGTGGTAGACGAAGGAAAGCAGGAGGTCCCGGAGAAACACTACCAACGACTCAGAGACTTGAGATAAAGTTGGTCAGACACCTTAACTATTCAGCCACTGTGGCCCTCAATAACTTTAATGGGTTTATGAAATACAGAGAAGTAAACTGTATTCGAGGAAATGTCTATAATGTTACCATGCTTCTCTATTGTATTTCTTGTATGCTATTGATAATGTATGGTGTTGGTATAGGTATGTTACAATATAATGCTAAGTTTCTCCAATATGTAATAGCGTACACTAAGTATGATCTGTTGTAATACGTTTCTACTTTACAAGATGATGTCTTACCGGTTCACCTATTCTCCAACAACACTGGAAATACATATTTAAACTCATACATATTTTAACTGATACATATTTAACTGTTTTCCTGCACCAATAAAAATACTTCTCACCAGATAAAAAAATGAAGATTTTGGGTACTGAAGAATGTAAAATTAGCTATGCATAGAGAACGATAAAGAACTACCCAGTATGTGCAACCTGTGACCTTTACCAATACAGTGTATGTAAATCACAGAATCAGAAACAAGATTTCAAATCGAAATGTATATGAACGCAACAGGAGAAAAAGAAGGTTAAGAAAAGAAATATCATACTTAAGCTAAAACAATTAATATAAATATAAATAGATTTTAAGTATTTGTAAAGATTTTCTTTTATATCATTATTATCTTATAATCTTATAAATCATTGTTAACCTATGAAACTCGGAAACTCTTTTATCAATATTCTGTTAACACTTTAAAGATGAGATGAATCTGTAGGACAGTTGGACACTCAGCACACCACATGACATGACTTGTCTGAGCTTTTTACATAGTCAGTTAATCAATCATATATTTAGTGGGTAAGATATACTAGCAATATGGGGCACCTGTCTTTAAATCTTCTTACAGTGACCATCAACATAACTGCCTTGATAAGTTTCTCACCAGGAGAAAATACTAATGAAACATGAACACATCCACATGTATCCTAAATAAGCATTACGTATCCTACCTGACATTACAGATTGAAATATGACAAATCTATTGTAAAAGAATTCATTATGGCACACTGTACTCACTCATCTCAACAAACATATGTCAGAGATTATACATATATACAAGTTAATCATTGTATGCATTATGACTACAACATTTACACATCTTGACTGAAAGTTTACATTTGCAGTTCACATACTAGAAACTAACTCTGTTCAAACACTGGGAAGGTGTGTGCAGAACACTTCAAACAATGAGTGATTAACACTTCAGACGTGGAAATTGGATGAGGACATTAGGTTGAATAGACTGGACAACAGCCTGACCAATACTTACAACAGAAGAAGGTGACACCAGGTCCTCTGTGTACAGGTAGTCCTGGGGAGCACCACTACTGACCAGGCGGTACCTCTCTACAACAACAATGTACACCTGACACACAACATCAATACAACAGGGCACAACAAACTAATCAAACAGGCCCTCTCCACTTCATTTCTTTATCTATTCTTCACCGGAAATCTACTAAATAGTTTTTCAACTTCATTAGTTCACAGGCATTTTTCCACTCAATTTTTATTTTTCTCTTTTTCTGTAGATTTTACATGCTTGCCAACATTAATTACCGGTATATTTACTAAGTCACACAAGGACTTAAATGCTGTGTATCTGGTTTAAATGAATTCGGATTTAGAGCAATCAGATAACAATTATAATCACATCCAAACCAGTGAGTAACCTACTGGACTTTCTCATCAATACATGTGTAAGTGTATTAAACTGTGTTCAACATGCATTATATAACAGTGTGAGGTCAGAGTAATAGTTTGTACCTACAGTTCATTATGTGGTAGAAATTAAAGTATTAGACTGTCAGGTCAGAGTAATAGTTTGTACCTACAGTTCATTATGTAGTAGAAATTAAAGTATTAGACTGTCAGGGGAAGGAAATGGGCAAAAAAAAAAAAAAAAAACAAGGACAATTGTAATATAGGTCATTGTCATGGTGTTTATAAAGCTTATTTGTACAAAGAGGATTAGATTCCGTCTTACAATGATCTATATTACGATTGTCCCTGTAAAATGTATAATGTAGATAACAAATCAGTCAAAATAAAAACAAAAATTGTAGTTATTTGCCTGACTTTGCTTCTATGTTTGTCAGTAAATATTTGTCTCATTATCCATAGATCTCTAACAAGACAAGTTAGGGGAAGGATTCCATTAATGCAGTATGATTACCTGCTAATCAATCATGTACCTGTGTTTGCTGTAATGACCGTTAGCTACCTTGACACTAAATGATGATATCTATTTAATCATACATAGTTATGATATATGTAACTACTGTAAATGGTCCTGCCCTCATGCCAATACAACATAAACAAAATACAATATTTTGCATAGATTACAAATATCACATGACAATCAAGACACTAGTTCTAAAAACCGTTCCCATGGTTACCTCTAGAGTTACAATAGTTCCATGCAAATATTTCAGTTTTATTCCAATCAGTCTTAAAAATTATTTTCATGAGTGATACAATTCTTCTGAATGAAAAAATCTTTTCATGCGTCTGTTCTTCAGAAAAATATAATTTTTAAAGTCAGTAATTATATAAAAGAATGCTGAATGTGTTTTATACAAAGGTTTTATGACTTGTGATATTATTGTGAACTGTTTCAGTTTTATTCTTTAAATGGCTATGTAGTAAATTAATTACTAACCTTATGAAACTGTGAATAAAAAAAAAATCATACACATCATGAAATATATAGTAATACATCAGGACAGCTGTGTATTATTGATGATAGAAAAATGTGTGAGACAAGAATGCTGTTGATGACAAGAGGCCCAAAGAATACGCATTGTTCACCTGGCTTTGTTTTACTCAAATTGCTTTATCCAAATAACAGGAAACATATTTCTAAAAGTTTATATAACTAGCCTCCAGCCGTCTGCCTCCAGGAGGTGAAAAAACATACCAAAGTCTCCTTCACCTAAGAATGTTTCAGATCACACTGGGACAAAAACCTAGCATTCCTACTGATGGATTTTAAAGAATTTCCATTATTCCTCCTATTGGCCCCCTTCCCTTCCTGACTGTTTATTCCCCTTCACCCCAGGATGCTGTGGACCAAATAGGGAAAGAATCCTGACATTCCTTCAGAAGAAAAAGGCCCAGCCTCTCAAACCTGCTCAAACCTGAGGTGGCAAAGACCAACCATTTATAAAAAACTGATTTTCTTTTACCCTAAAATGCCTCAGACAAAACTGAAACAGAATCCTGACATTCCTAGAGAAGAAGAAGAAGAATTTTAAAGAATTATAGACTTATTTCATTTGGGTTTGGGGATAGGGTAAGTCAAAATCCACTCTGTCTTTTATGACTGGTAGTTCTTTGAAGAAATTATTGGCGGAAGATGGAAGGAGCACAGAAGCCACAGTATGGCATAAAAGCTGAAAATCAATGATGAAATAAGCAAATTCTGTAGAGTGTTAACAGAGTAATGAGATGTGACAAGTCAGTCATGGGTAACAATATATTCCCATTCCTTACCTCCTCCATCGTAGATGACAAAGGGTCAGTAGCCAAATCTCTTTGGCTAATACAGAGCTTAATTACTATAAAGAGTATTTGATAAACATTTGAAATGAAGCAATGAAATGAAGCAACTTATAAATGAAGTTTTAAACTTGTATGAGCCACCTTTTTACCAACCTGACTTAGCAACAGAAGATATTGGTCGAAAGACAACAGATATGGTGATTTGTCCGAAGGCGGAGTCGGTAATATAACCTTCTGACCGCTTGTTGTAGCCAAGGGTAACGCCTTTCTTCAGGAATCCACTCTCACCCTGTAAGTTAAAATAAACTTCTACACACCTGCTGGCAATAAGAATACTAAGCAATGAAAATTTCTCATTTTTCTTTAAAACCTAATCAGTTCTTTGGTTATATAAACATTAGTCTAACATTTTTTCCTTGCCAATAAGTTACCATAAATGACTGTTACCCAAATATGGTTGTCAGTTAATCACAGTCAACCAATGACCTTTTGACCTTTACAAATCTTAAAGACTTCAAAGTTTCTATTTAAAACTCAAAAAACACTACATAAAACATGGCCCTGATTTAATGGATACTTTTGTATCTAAGAACATTGATCCACGAAGAGGTCACTAAAACGTGACCCCTGCAGGTATGATGTTCCCTATTACTGGTCTGTATTTTGGTAATACATTGAAGTATGTTGAACAATGGTAATTATATTTTCTGTCACTGAAACACTCTTCTTAAACAAAAGACAAAGTTGAATTAAAATTGAAAATGCATTAAAAAATCATTTTAAATTTCTGCACAAAAAAAGGATTATACCTCTTTAAGTGACAGGTGAGCAGATCCCAGAAAGTCATCATCAATGGTATTACTGCCATCCCAGTCAAACACATAAAATGACAGATTCATCTGTAAATAAATGTAATCACTAATGAGTGACATCACTCTTCTCAATAGCCAATAAAAATATTGGAAATCAATTTTAACTTCAAGAGGCCCAAGAATCTAAACGGCTCACCAAGCTTATCATTTCACTTATATTTAATATGACATAAGTATTTTAAAGAGCGATATTGATTCAAGCTGATGGAAGGCAAGAACTGAGAACTTTTTAATCATATTTTCCGCCTCAATTCTTATGTTTCACAATGAGTGCACTTAGTCTCAGGATCAATTCCACTAAATATCAATACTATACACTAAACTCCCTTATCTGTATTTAAGGGACAGTCTTTCTAACATTTACCAATAATTTTCCTGTTTGGGAAGTATAATGCCCCTGTCCCAGGAGTAGCTATATCTTTGATTCCCCGTTCTCAGAAAAGGCACCAGCTTCATTTAATGAATATAGAATACACATGGTTTACAGGTGCTTCATGGTAAATACAGATTTTCAATAGTTAAGAGAGGACTTTTCAAAAGTTACTTCATATTTCCTTTATCTGTTGCCACCCTCTACCCAAATGAATTCATTTGATCCACGGATGCTCCAGGTCTAATAAAGTTAAAATCCTTTTGGCCTAGAAGCCAATGGTTAAGGATAGAACATTTAAGAGTAATCAACCTTACCTTTGTGTAATCTCCAGTAAAGAATTCCACAGATTTCTCCCAGTAAGGGTTTCGTGTACGAGGAATATAGGGAGTTGTCATAACCTGTTTCATTCAAAATACAAACAATCTTGTCACATTTCTGTATACTAATAATAAATGTTGTCACATTTCTATAAACTGATAATACAGAATTTATGTTACATGTGTTATGTTCACACATCTATTTAATATGGTTAAATTATTTTATAAACTCCAATAATTTATATAGAAATTAAAGTGTTGATAGAGTTTCAATAAAGAACAAAAATACACTTTCTGATAGATAGGTACAAGTACTAGTTTAACTAAGCTGTGATGATAATGCTTCCTTATTATTCAACTGGTCACATATTCACAACAGCCCTTGAAGTAGAACACTTTGTTTCATTAAAATCTTTCTCATACTAAAAAGAATTTATAAGCCCTGCTCTCTCAGATTTAACTTACAATCATACAATAATTATACAATACAGATCTTACCCGGCGTCTATCACAAAACACCACACAATATGGGTCTGATGTACCACTTTTGTCTGCGGCGATCACTCCTGCTGCACTGTGGACACATACAAACATCACACCTGCCACTGCCAATAGAGAAATTGGGGTAAAAATCACTACAGGAGAAGGAAGTTACAATTCTAGTGATTACTGGCTTATGTCTTTGTGAGGACTCAGGATTGGTACTGACGGAGTTATTTTCAAAATATCTTTTAACATAATCACATATAACTACAACATTATAATGTCGTGATATTACTCCCAGATCTCTAGTGATTTGGGTTGGTTGGTTACAGGTTTTCCGTCTCCATAACTCCCCCTATCTCTAAGCATTGTCTCACTAATGAATGTCAGTGTTCTGATGATGTGTTTTCTAGTGAAATAAATAGGAGGGGTGTAGGATGCAAACTTATATACCCTTAAAAGTTTTGAACCAGCTGAGACCAGAAGACACACTAATCAATGAACTAACATACCAATGAAGAGGACATTGATGAACACAAACTAAGATGGATCCAGGACCTAACTCTGGGGAGCTCTCCATAAACATGCCAGAGTTTAGTGTTTGTCCAGTACACTTCTTGCTTGAGTTTACACTTAGGTGAGATGAGGTATAAGGTGATTAGGGGAGGAGGGTGAAGAGGAGGGTGAAGAGGTGGGTGAAGAGGAGGGTGAAGAGGAGGGTGAAGAGGGGGAGGAGGGTGAAGAGGTGGCAACTGAAGGCGTTTTCTAGCTCATTACACTGTTATCCTTGCAAAAAAAAAAAAAAACACAAATGAGGATTTTTCTTGAATCTCCAGTGAAATAGAGTTATCTCTTACAACAATTTAATTTAGGACAATCACAATATCTTTTGACACAATCATAAGTGTTAGGATAAGGAGGTCAACAAAGGTCATGAACTTATTCTATTGGAAGTCTAGTTGAGGAGGGTTCAAAGAGGTCATGTGCTTACTCTCATGGGAGTCTAGTTGAGGAGGATCAGCGTTGGTTACATCCATATCTATATAAGTGAGGGGGGTGTACTGTAACTTCAGTTCATGTTTGCTGCCATCTTTGTTTGTTAGGGATGTAGAAACACTGTAGAAAGTACAAAACAGAATAAATAATGAGTTCTTCAAATTCCTATCCTTTATATTGCTTTGAATATATAGATTCACCAACGAAAATATGATAAAAGTGAAAATAATGAAATAGTTTTTAAGATGCTGCTTTATCATTCATTAAGATAGTGTAATCACAATGCTCAGAAAGGTAGACATGACAGGCAATGTCTGAGATCCACAATACGGTTTAATCATCATAACAATCTAAATAACTCAACATTTCTTACTTTTTCTCCATTTCTAAAGGTAAAGAATTCAGCAGAATTTCATGGTAATCCATGGTGATGTTAGTCAACAAACGACGGCACTTATTCTTCACTACAATCTGAAACATCAGTTAATTACAGCATTCACACATTGTGACCTATAGATTTGTATCTATGACCAGCGTTTGACAGAACACAGCTTCAAATTACATCTAATGATGACATTATTAAGATATTCTTGTTATCATACACCATCCTGAAATGACCACAGGTGTTGATACCGTGTTAAACAATATAAGACCAAATCAATCTTTCTTCTCACACAAATTATTTCCTTTTTGAACATTAATTCATTACTGCATTTGATATCAATTAAAAGCAAAATAGAGATATACTATTGGTTCAAATCATATGTAAATTTACTTGCCTCTTGATAATAGAGTGAATACTGACTTGTGCTGAACTGTACAAAGACTATACATTACAAAGGAAACACAGAACAGTTACAGTTCAATCATCTTTAGGGGTAGACTAACGACAAGTAACTACAGGTTCTACACAAACAGCCAGTACTTAGCTGTTTGTTTTAGAGAAAAACAGCGACTCAAAGTACATATATTATAAAAAAGATAACAAGATTAAATTGAGCAATTGTACCTTGTCTTTGTTTAGAGAGTAGACCAACATGGAACAGATATCTTCCCATTCCTCTGTTGCCATGACATCGTAAGTCTGACGTTTCTTTGTTCCTACTTTTATCATTGTATACCGCACTTCCTCTGTGTCTGTTTTAACAAAATTTGAAGTAAAATCAAAATATAATTGCAATCTTTTTACTGTGAAACACCAGACACATTCCACAACTTAATACCCGGGTAATTAAATTGAAATCGAATACAACTTATACAATCATTTCTGAATATGAACAAAAAAAAGTTAATGGGTAAATCTGTCAGATATCATATTACTTATAGCATAAACAAGAAATAAATATTGTACCTGGTACAGCTTTTTTAGATGTTGGTTTGGGAATACCTTTGATCAAAACAGTAAGCACTCCTTGAGCTGTAAAATACAAAATTAACCCCAATATTAAAGAACACTCTCCTGCTTTTTTCCTTTAAAATCATAATGTAAATATTTCTATTGAAAGAAAAGCATTTGGAATTTTTTATGTGTATTTTTTATAGGAAAATTACAGAGTATAAAGACCCCACCCATCCATAATTATAAAAAACTTAACGATTACAGTATCTGTAAACACAGCAAGCAGAAATAAAGATTCACAAATTACTTCTAAAACACAATAAAACACCACAAGTTTAAATAAATCTGTAGAAAACATCCTTACCTAATCTGTCTGGTGCATCAGATTTCTTCATGATTTGTATGGGACCGACCTTGGCTACGGGAATGTCAATTAACCCCGGGTCAACAAGGGCTGAAATAAAAATATCCAAAAGAGTTATCATGGAAACAATCCATCCAGTATTTCTCTAGAAATTGTGATAATAAGAATTACATGAGGACAGACAGACAACAGATCATTGATGAAGGGTGTTTTGAACAGAACACTATCTACACATGTACATTGATCTTATACTGTAACAGTTGAATTAAGTTTGACAGTATGATATCATTTACTCAAGTTTAACATTTACCACTGTATAAAATCTATAATTTACAAAGAAAACAAGACCAAACGTCTGGTATTGTAGATTCAGTAATATTGGCAGTCTTCCTAGGATGAATTCCTAGTGGAATACAAGACTCCTGTTCAAAGATTTGTAAACAGCAAATATAGAGGACCAGACAACAGCCCAAGGAAGAATGAAAACAGTTAATAGTTGACATGTTTCGGCATACTAGGTATGCCGTCCTCAGAACAGATTAACTTTTCAAAATACTGCACTTATATACTATCTCTACCTAGCAACTACACATGTTATTTACAGTTGACATCAAAGATGATACACAGGTTACAATGATGTAGTCAATTAGTGACGTCATAGGTGATACACAGGTTACAATGACGTAGTCTATTAGTGACGTCATAGGTGATACACAGGTTACAATGACATAGTCTATTAGTGACGTCATAGATGATACACAGATTACAATGACATAGTCTATTAGTGACGTCATAATGTACAAACCTTGATCGAATTACATTAGATACTGTAATGGTACGTATGTTAACAATATTAATAAAGATAAAATGGAAATAACTATGAGTTCATATAAGTGAGGTAACTCTACGGTATGTATGTCCATGTAGAAGTATGAACGTAAAATATAGAACAGGTAAGTAAAATGAATGCTATGTCAGCTTTAAGAGAGCTTCCGCAGGCAGTGGGCTGGGTACAGAACATCTACAGGTATGTACACTACAATTGAATATGTGAATTAGAACTATTTTCTAGATTAATTTAAATGAAATAAAATAAAATTACAGACTAGAGTCTGTCACATGGAAAAGGTGCAAAATAAATTAGAATTTCAGTTTATGTTAAACCATCTGTAACAAGCAGCCATGAAAAAAGTAACAAAGTTATTTGATTATCTGTGTCTGATATCAAATCTTTCCTGTTCAGTGGTGTTTTTTTTCGAAAGGAGATAAGGGCCTCTTCTGTATGTAAGCATTTTAATTCTTCCTACAGATGCTGTCTGGTCCTCTATACTTGCTGTAAAATCTATAATTTGTTATGAATAAGGCTATTAGTCAATCAAACAGGGTATATAAACAGAACACCACAAAACACTAACCCTTTGTGAGGCCCTCCATCACATTAGCTTGTAACCAGGATTTGATGAGTGGAACTTGCATGATATCTAATTGTTTTAAAACATTTACACTGAATGAAACCTCTGGTCTGCAATGCAAGCAAAGTTTAGATAAGATAAAAACAGAATATCATCAGAATTACAAGTCCTGCTATGTTTATAAAAGATTTTCTTGTTAACATCTGTTTGTGAGAGATATCTATTTCTAATCATTATCGTTACAGAAAACAAGTGGTGAACTAACTTTAGTGAGTTAACTTACAGCTCTGTGAACATGATAGTTGCCTTGGTGACATGTGGGAATGGAACATCCATTGACATGTGTAGAATGATCTGGAGGTTGCCCTTGACAAACAGGTTCTCGACAGACATGTCAAAGCTAAGACCCATTCTGGAAAATAACATGTATGTCAAATCTAAGGCCCTTTATGGAAAATAACAGTCAGGTCCAATCTAAACCCCATTCTGGAAACTAACAATATAGTTGTATATATAACTTACAATATGATAATAAGAATTCAAACACCTGCTGAGATATGTTTTTGATCTCTTTCTTAAACATTGACACAGTATCAATGAGTAATACAGGTATTACCATCAAACTGCTTTGTGTGGAAGATATTTTGATACATGAACTGGTAAAGAAAGAATTGTGTGTTGGATAAAGACAACAAGGTTTGTTTCATTTTAACTTTCTGTCTTCAGGTTTTAGCTATTTACTTTTGGCAGTGTATTTAAAATCACCTAATTTCAATTCAGCTAAATCTGTTGCATATAGAATATGAGCATAGGTCAGGAACTCTCATATAGTGCACCATAGCACAAGTCAACTGTGAAATAGATTCTCATAATTGTAACTATAAAGATTGAATTTCACCAGCACAACTGTGTCGTTTCATAAAGAGATCAGAATATCTAGATATCATTATGACCTGTATCATTGAAATCGTTAAAATGAATAAAAATCCAACAAAAAACATGTCTTGGTATACCAATAACAATACTTGTATGGAGATTAAGCTTAAGAAGCTAACCAAACTTTATAGGTATGCTAAAGACTGGGTACATTAACACACTGGACTACACACACCAGGTATCACTTCCTACAGCGTAGGTTATTACAGGAACAGGGCAAGTTATTTAGGTCCTATACAATGTAACAGGTAGGAAAGGGGTCATATCGCAATCCTTAACACTACAATCCACCTGATCAAGTTTCACCTACATAATTTTACAATCACTTCCCTCCTTTGATACCATACTAGTACATATCTTTTCTGAAAACCAATCCAAGATAGCTGGGCAATATCTAGTCTAAATTTTCCTGTTTAAAAATCCTTATATAGTCTGTAAAATAACTGGTAAACACAAAACGAAGCTTATCAAATGAAAACAGACAATGTACACATGATGCATAATTACGTTGCAATCCACGCAAAAATTGTTTCTGATGTAATGTATGATTTTCACTGGAAATTACATACTGGTCCCACAGACTGAGTACTAGACACCCTAGGATACAATGATCACTGTACCTGATGCCTTACTGGGGTCAATGTTACATTAACTGATTGACTCATTTTACTTGACCTCGACATTAGTCACACTAATGGAATGGTAATGAACACAGTCATTGTTTCACTCTGTACCTGATTTTGACAAAAGTTGCACTGTTTGATCAACACCACAATTCACTGAAACATTGGTTGCACTAAACATCCTATACTGTACATTGACATTAAAAACTAGTAACACTGTATATTTAACAAACTTCTTGACCTTGACATTGGTAAAACTGTATATCTAACATACTACCTGACCTTGACATTGGTAAAACTGTATATCTAACACACTACCTGACATAGACATTGGTAAAACTGTATATCTAACACACTACCTGACATAGACATTGGTAAAACTGTACATCTAACACACTACCTGACATAGACATTGGTAAAACTGTATATCTAACACACTACCTGACATAGACATTGGTAAAACTGTACATCTAACACACTACCTGACATAGACATTGGTAAAACTGTATATCTAACACACTATCTGACATAGACATTGGTAAAACTATATCTAACACACTACCTGACATAGACATTGGTAAAACTGTATATCTAACACACTTCCTGACCTTGACATTGGTAAAACTGTACATCTAACACACTACCTGACATAGACATTGGTAAAACTGTACATCTAACACACTACCTGACATAGACATTGGTAAAACTGTATATCTAACACACTACCTGACATAGACATTTGTAAAACTGTACATCTAACACACTACCTGACATAGACATTGGTAAAACTGTATATCTAACACACTTCCTGACCTTGACATTGGTAAAACTGTATATCTAACACACTACCTGACATAGACATTGGTAAAACTGTATATCTAACACACTACCTGACAAAGACATTGGTAAAACTGTATATCTAACACACTACCTGACATAGACATTGGTAAAACTGTACATCTAACACACTACCTGACATAGACATTGGTAAAACTGTATATCTAACACACTACCTGACATAGACATTGGTAAAACTGTATATCTAACACACTACCTGACATAGACATTGGTAAAACTGTACATCTAACACACTACCTGACATAGACATTGGTAAAACTGTACATCTAACACACTACCTGACATAGACATTGGTAAAACTGTATATCTAACACACTACCTGACATAGACATTGGTAAAACTGTACATCTAACACACTACCTGACATAGACATTGGTAAAACTGTATATCTAACATACTATCTGACCTTGACATTGGTAAAACTGTATATCTAACACACTACCTGACATAGACATTGGTTAGAAATGATAATTTGATTCTAGCTGTTCTTGTTCTAAGCATTGACAAAGGTTACTGATTTTACACTAATTGACCTTGACTTCATCAATTCATCAATTTTTCATCTTTATTTTTTCATTTTGATTTCAGCAAGTTTTCTCAACATCTTTGACATTGTATCTGATCTGGATATCCAGTTATTGTGACAATTCTATATAAGATATTGGTTAGAACAATCACTTGATAAAACCACTCCTAATTTTGACATTAGTATGATAGTCAGCTGCCTCAGTTGACTTTGCTAACATATAATAATTAGTTGATGTCATACCTTGCTTTACCAATGGTTGATCTGAACACCATCCTGAAATCCTCACATGCTGTATCGACTTCCGCCTGAAGCACTACTTGGTAATTTGACATCTTTTCGAGGCCACAAGGTGGGGAGTGCACACTCACCCAGCTCACTGGTTTGTGGCCCCCTGGGACTCCTTCAGAGTACTCAAATGCTCTCACATACTTAAATGCAGGTGTCTTATCACCAAACGTAAATGATAGCAATTCCATTTTATCTGCAACAGATACAAATAACTGAAATATCTAGGACAGACTTAGCCAAGTCAGTGACATCCCATATGCAAAGTGATGGAGTATTCTACTTTTAACTTTGAAAAAATAATAGCAGATTCTCAAGACCTGATATCCAATGACCTAACAAATCCGCTCTCACATCTCAAACATAACGACAAATATTTCAATAACATAGTTTCTTAAATCAATCATAGTTCAGATGACTAAAAATGAAAAAAATAAAATTGTACATAATGAGTTAATTTGTGTAATTATTTAGGCATACATGTAACTCAGTTCCAGTGTGATGTAACATGGTCTTGTATACATGTTTTTATTTTATGTCGTTTCTCTGTAATAAACGGCCAGTATCATTTCACACTTCTGTTTTACTGGTTATCTTTCACAATGTTTGATGTTCTCTAAATGTACATGAGAACTGCTCATCATAAAAAACAAAATTGTTGTGATATATCTGAAATCCCAGATCTGCAGATTTTGTAATTGATGGTTGGTAAGTCTGGTTGTCATCAATTTCCATAATTTTCTTTTACATTAAAGATGTTTTTGTAGTGAGGCAAAAGAAAGCAAAGCGAGAAAAGATTGAATATGCTGGACATTTTAACATTGTTTTTCACCATTACAGTTTTTTTTACTGGAGTATACATGTATCCTGTATATTATCTATAAACATGTATCTATTTGTCCATGTAGATCATCGATTTCAAGCCTTTACCCAAACATCCTGGTTTCACTGTCTGTAATCTTTCATCAATTCTTTTCTTGATCAGTTCCTCCAGATTATTGGAGCTGAACACCCACCTACAGGTAAATGCAGTAAGTATTGATTAGCCTACAAACACGTTGTATGGATTAAATTTTAGCACAAACATATTGATTTTTATTTTACCAACACATTTTCATTTATCATTGTACAGGGTATTTCATTCACAAAGCTGAAATATCATGCAACTGAAGCAACACTCACATTATGGTATTGTTTCCTGAACAGAAAACAGTGATTAATTTATTTCCATTCTGCATGACTCCCCGTTTCCTTCTGCACGTGAGGTACAAGTATTTTTATATTCATTGTCAATGTTTTCATTTTTTTCAACATGAGGATAAAGTTACTTTTAGAAATCACTTGACTTGTCACTCTGCTGACAGACATAGAATACCAACTTGTTCTTTGGACTAAAATCTCAACATACATACACATAATGAACAATTCCTAAGGGTAGTTAAGTCAACTTGCCCAATTAAAAAAAAATTTGATCAGGCATACAAAACCTTGGCTATATAACGCTTTCATATTGTCAGGAGTTAAGCCCCCAATCTCTATGTTATATCTCCCTGTTATGTTGTCTGTGGTGTAGTCCCCAACATCTATATATCTCCCTGTGATGTTGTCTGTGGTGTAGTCCCCAACATCTATATATCTCCCTGTGATGTTGGTATTTACCTTGTCCCCAATCTCTATATATTTTTCTGTGATATTATCAGTTGCCTTGTGCCCAAACTCTGTATACTCTCTTTATATATGTGATGTTGTCCTTTCATTTATATCTACATTGTGTATACGTACTGTACATTTTTGTTAGTGATAATTGGGTCCCCGACCACTATAATAACTATATAGGCTATAGATAAGACATTGGTCAAATGTCACTGATAGACCATATCAATTTCAACAGCCCTATCTGATCTCCAAACATAATATCAAATACTGATGTACAACCAAACACCTGCACATCTTACTTAAAACAGTTCGCTCTCACACTGGTTATTGAGTGAAAGTTAATTCTATGGCCTAGAGTATTTCGAAATATAGAACAAACTCTTAGTGCAAGTAATGTGTATATACATAAACCAACTAAACGAAAACTTGATACCCGGTGTGGTATGCACAACAAATGATTTATAAGCAATACATTTACTGTAAGCTATATGACACGCTTGAGTGATTGCGCTCTCACTCTTACCATCTGTTAAAAACGAAGTTGAGCCACTCAAGCGATTCACTCTGTCTCAGCGCTTTTTTCCTGTGTATCCGTTGCTCTTCCTTTGCTAGGTGCCTCTTCACAATGTTAGTGAGCTTCGTCTTCCAGACGACAAACAATGCTGCAATGACAATGAAAACCCAGAGGAACGAGCATCCCCATACCCCTAAACCCCAGGCAAGAGACAGTGATGCCGACACCAGCAGGTAAACCCATAGCAGCTGGTTTACAGTCTTTTCTCCAGATTCATCTGTTTTATCGGATCGCATTTTTATGGATGGAAAGCTGACTTAAAAGTGTTAATCCTGCCACTCCATTTTAATGAATTGCAGCATACGTTCCTCAGACAAAACTGGCATGTTATGCCACACACAAATCCCTGACAGCTCAGGTAAATAAATATTCGAGTCACTCTGACTTTATCATAACAATGAGAAAATACCAGAAATGTCCGAATGTATTTCCTGTTGACAGTGCTTTCCCGCGGTTTTTGAAACTTGCCAGTACATGTTTGTGATAAAAGCTTGTGGACGGAAACCATGTTGACTTTTGGTAGGCACACCACTTATTGATTAATACGGGCTATACACATGTCCATATAACAAAACTGGACAAGCTATTGCTTGCGGTCAGAACAAGGTTAATAGTTAAATCTATATGATTTATTGAAGCTGGTCAGTCTAGAATTTATACACGATCACACGATCTGGTATTCCCTTCTCTGCCCAACCCAGCTACTCTTGCTTGGGTTTCATTGGTAACTGTTTTAAAGAATGAAAGAAAAAGAGAAAAAGACAACCCAGTCACTGTTGCTTGGTTTTCATTGGCAAATATCTTAAAGAATGGAAGAAAAAGACAACCTTTTTCATTTCTAGAAGATAACAAAAATATCCCCATTACAATTTAAGTAGCCGGTTGCGACGTTCATGGTTTCGATTATTTTATTAATACGCTATGTTTGTAAATTATGCTTTTAGGGGATACAATACAAAGAACTGCTCCATAGTCTCGTTTGCTGTAATATGTTTCACATGGAAGTTCTCGTGAATTAAATATGTCCAATAATGTTGGTAAGACTGGAAAATTTAGGTTTAACTGATAATACCGCTTTGTTCAGTCTGCAACATATCTTTATAACTTTTAGGGACTCATTATATCTGATCTCTGACTAATAGTCGACCTTTCCGACACCTTTTAGGGACTCGTTATTACTGATCTCTGATTAATAGTAGAACTTTCCGACAGCTCCGATCTTCGTTATGACTTAGCTTTGTAAGAGTTGTTTCCCCTCGTCCTGTGGTCTCGTTGGAAGCTTTACGTCAGTTAGGTGATATAAACCCAACAGACTTTAAACAATTTAATTGTGTACATATTTTAATTCGACAATTGAGCTTCAAAGGATATTCTCAAGAATGCTTCTTGTACCAACAGTCCGTTTTTTACACATTATTAAAAGCATATCAGACATTTCTGAGCCCTAACTCGTGCTTAATTTCATGTATTACTTATAAATTAATCTAGAAATATGTGCTACTTCATTTTATAGATCAAATTACTTGAGTGATTTCTACTACTACTACTACTACTACTACTACTACTACTATCATTATTATTATTGTGACATTCTTAACGGCCCGTCAACACATAGAAGGTCATTAAGGCCATTAACTGGTAAAACACACAGCGATCCAATAGGAAATAACATTAAACAAACAAAAGATAAATCACAAATGCTAAGAATCGTAAATGGGCATGTTAACACAAAAGATTAAATGGTACTTGAGTTAAGAAGACCATAAGTATTTTACATGACTTTTTTTCTAGTTAGGACGTTTTATATATGTTGCTACCAGGTAAACATCTTTGTTCTCGTTACTGATCAGAGATAGGGATTTCTACCACTGTAGATGGGTAAGTCAATGATCTCTTTACGAGTCGCCTTTGAGCAGAAATCTTCAGATATGTCAATTTTAAATAAGAACTTCATTATGCATTAATTTAAATTGAGAATAATTTTTATGTCTCTCTATCACCATGTAATCCCCACTGAGACACACACTTCCACTCGTTGACATATAAAATTCAGATATTTAATCAAATAAAGAAGAGACCTTTGTATAATCATACATACACACACATTACTGAATACATAAAGCAAAATACTTTGCACCGAATATCCAAAGATGTTTGAAAAAAATGCAATGGCCACACATTTCAGGACTTCAAAAAAGATAATGCATTGTTGACAAAGATACCAGGCTCCCCCTCCGTCCTTTCAATATTTGTGAATGGAGGACATTGAAATGAGTTAAATATTCACAATTATACATCTGTTTGTCAGACCGGAAATGTATGTCTACTGGCGGATGGGTATTCTCCTCACAGTTATAACAAATGGACCAACACCACTGTTCGTACTCATTAAGGATCGTTAACAGGTCACTTCGATCGATTAATCACGTCTATGCTGATGAGGATTCCATGCTTTTCCGTCGTATTGTGTACACAACTGAGGTCGGTTCCCTAGTGTTTCACATCCAAGTATATTTACACTGCCGGACCAGTTTCCTCTACATCTGACAAATTTCTTTCTTCATCCGAAATTGATAGTTTGACAACGTAATTAAGTGTCAAAAGCCCCCTTAATTTTTGTTACAAACATTCGACAATTTGGTGTAAACATTTTCTGTTTTAATCATAGTTTGTTCGTCCTTGTTATTTCATTGTTTATTATAGACGTCGGGACGGAGGGCTTGGTTTCCAAACTTCTCCCTCTCCAGTACTTGTGGTGTTTCCCCACACGGCGCACAGCTGCTCAGGCCCTCCACAGACTCACACCAGACACGGCTATTCTTAGTTACAGCCCAAATACAAGTTAATATGTCTGCTAATGAAGACTTCCACATTTCTTTTTTGAAAAAAAGTTCTGAAAGAAAAAATTGTCTTCCCATCTAAAAGAAGAGTTATTTCCCTTTAAACGAATCGTACTTTTCTAGTTTCAATGGTCGCATTTTAAGAATGGACAAAGTCGAGGAGAGGAGGTCAAGATGGAGATGTATTTATATATAAAAGTGATCATACTATACACTAGTATACATTTCGAATGGTCACTGAATATACATCATACCAAACAAAATATACTATCTTAATTTCATTCATAAATAAGTCAAATAATAAAGTTTAAAAGTCCGTATTATATAAATAAGTTTAATGATCCATGTATGGATGTATGATACCACAAGTACAATAATTGGGGGAAAACATGAGATAATTTGGTGATTCAAAACCTTGTGCTTTGATGGGAGAGAGAGGCCAAGGGAAAAGAAAATCGCATGTTCCACTGAAACAGTACTGTACTGGTAATGATGATACCGGCATGGTGAATGAGGACATACAATTAATACAGTTAAATCTCTTTAAGATGCGGATAAAGTTTTTAACAAACGAAAAACATGATAAAAAAATTGAAGGACAGCGTATGTTCATCGTTTGCCAGTTCATTTCAATTCTCCAAACAAAGGTATTTATAATCAATTTAATTTGCATACCTTACAGCACATTCGGACAAAAGAGTATTAAATGGTTTTGTCTGTTTTGTTGCGTTGAAGAAATTTTCTTCGATGTAAGTAACGTTTTACCTCCTTTCAAAGCAAGGTTGACGTGTTCAACTTATTTTCTAATCGGGAGGTCACTCTTTAACAAGGCTTAGTGATGTTTGCTATTTTCGCTCGAAAGGATACAACCTGATCAAAGATACAGTTTAATAATAACACTCTTCAATTTATGAATATTTCAGAAGACCATTTTATCAATAACTACAAAAAAATCCCACATGCTTCGTAGTTATCAAAATAAAACAAAAACAAAAACAAAAAACAAATAATGAGGAAAGAAAACAAAAAAACATTTGTCTTTTTCTTCGTATATGTTTACTACAAACTGTCGAAGAAGTGGATGGGTAGGTGATGTCGACATATCTGAATTCTAGATGGAAGAAGGACAGGGCGGAAAATTACTTTTTTTTTTTCATGTCCATGTTCCATTACGGCAGATTTTCAGTAACACATGTGTTCACAAGTGTACTACAGATCTTGTGGTTTTCATGTCTCGACTGAGAGACCACGTTTCTCTTCTAAGACGGGTGTTCATCAAGTGCAGGGTAGTAGGTTTTTAGATGGGCTGTGTCTTACCACTCTTGTGTCACTCCTTGATGTATTCTCCGTTCTGTACATGTTACAGAGTAATTCTAACGGGTTCCACGAAGCTCATGCTGTTACATTCTGAAGTATCATAATTGAACTGAAAACTATACAATTTGTTTTTTGATAGGAATAAGTTAGTTTTATCTATAAATATATGCCCGTAATTGTGGACTCCAGAGCTGGTGAATTGCACAAGTGTATCAAAAATCATTCTTGATCGGCAAGACACAGATAAAGATGATACAAAACCGTGCACACCACGAGAATTCAAGCAGAAGAAGGGGTGAAACAGTAGAAAGACAGGATATGAGATTTAAGGTTTGTTACGGAACTTCCGGAAGCTATAGGGAGGAAAGCTAGATTGAATGATGAATGAAGAATTTTGAAGCAGAATGTATTGGACTTTGTTAAGGACGATTACGTGATAATGTTTAATACGTCACGTGACTGGTTAGATTCCTTCATAAAACAACCCAGCCTGCTGATTTGAACGCAAGTTATCGACGCATGGGTGTCGAAATAATTATACATATCCATGTACTGTACTCTAGGTATGTAATATGTGCTTATTAGCCGTAACGTCTAGAAATGAATAAATGCATTGAATTAGAGAATACAAGGATCTGTTACATCACATGACATTTTTAACTTAATTGGTCAGTGATATTTTACAAGGCAAGAATGGGCAAAAGTGATTGTGTCACGGGAGATGATTGTAACTGAGGAAGAAACAAATGACACGTCGGACAGTATCGTTATGTGCCAGGATAACCAGAGAAAAGAAACCAGTTGTTGTCATTCAGGAACATAAAAAAAATCCAGTTAAGTATTACGCAAATCGAAAATAAGATGACTGGAAAGGATGTTTTAAGTTTAGATCAAGCCAATTTGACCAAAAAGACGACATGAACACATTTCTTGATTAATGTACCCTCGTATCGTATCGACGTCGAGATCTTCCTCCAAATACAATACTTAATACCTAACCAGTGAACTGAAGTTGCGAAATAGACAAAACAGCATGGTCAGCATCATGGTCAGATTTGCTAACAGGACTTGTTCAGAAA